GGACAACAGTGTGGAGAATGAGTAGTTCAGAACACTTAATTGTGCTCATGAGGAACCTGTACGTAGAACAAGAGACAGTTGTTTGAACAGAACAAGGGAACACCAGGGTTGTATTCTTTCACCATTCTTATTCAATCTGTATGCTGAGCAAATAATCCAAGAAGCTGGATTGTATGAGGAGAAACGTGGCATCAGGATTCAAGGAAGACTCATTAACAACCTGAGATAAGCAGATAATACAACCTTGTTTGCTGGAAGCAAAGAGTACTTGAAATACTTACTGATGAAAATTAAAAACCACAGCCTTCAGTATGGCTTGCAACTCAATGTTAAGCAAACAAAAATCCTCACCACTGGACCAATAAACAACATCCACATAATGAGAGAAAAGTTGTCAAAGACTTCATTTTGCTCGGAACAACCATCAATGCTCGTGGACTCAACAGTCAAGAAATCAAACGACATCCCCAGCCGATCTCCTCCCTCCCTGCCTTCCTCCTCCCTCCCTGCCTTCCTCGGATGGCGGCTGTTTATGCTGGATGTGTGGCCAGAGACGGGTAAGGATCACGTGGAACCTCGGCAACCTAAGACAGAGACATTGCCATGCTGCAATGAGTTTCGATGACGAGTAAGACTGAGGAATTCGTACTGACCGCCTAAGACAGGCAGCGTCCCTTAAACAAACAATAAATAAGGGGGAATCTGATGCAGACCCGCTTAGGAGGTCAAGACCCTGTGGGCCCAAGCGTTGTTGACCGTCCAAACCATAGGCTCTGAGGATCAGACTTTAGCCACCTAGTAGACATAGCAAACTGTCCCTCATCTGATTATTCAGTAATGCTTGTTAGTAATCTCATACATGAGCCCTGGATATCCACAGACAAATGTAAAAACCTTCCCTAAAAGCCGAGACTGTAAATTCCAAAAAGGCAAGTTCCTCCCACCGCACCAAAAAAAAAGCTAAAGAGGATAGAGAGAAACACTGTTAACTGATTATATATGGAGGGGATAATAATCAATGTAATGAAACAAGCTATATGAATGGTTGAATGTGAAGCTGATGATGTGCCCTGTAAACTTTCACTCAATCCAAAATAAAAACATTTAATAAAAAAATAATAATAATAAATAAATAATAAAAAGAAATCAAACGACATATTGCGTTAAACAAATTTGCTACACTTTAAAGTGTTCAAGAGCAAAGATGTCAGCTTGAGGACTAAGATGCGCCTGACCCAAGCCATGATATTTTCAATAACCTCATATTCATGTGAAAACTGGACAGTGAATAAGGAAGACCACAGAAGAATTGATGCATTTGAGTTATGGTGTTGGAGGAGAGTATTAAAAATATCACAGACTGTCAAAAGAACAAACAAATTTGTTTTGGAAGAAATACAGCCAGAATGGCCAGACTTCGTCTCTCATACTTTGAACATATTATCAGGAGGTACTCGTGCCTGGAGAAGGATATCATGTTTAGTAAAGTAGAGGGTTGGAGAAAAAGAGGAAGATCCCCAACGAGATGGATTGGCAGAGTGGCGGCAGCAATGAGCTCAGGGTTAGCAATGATTGTGATGTTGGTGTGGGACTGGGCAGTGTTTCGTTCTGTTGTACATAGGGATGCTATGAGTCAGTGCCAACTTAATGGCACCTAACATGTTCAGAGACAATGCTTAGGGATAGACAGTGTGCTAAGTAATATAAACTGGAAGCGGAGATAACACTAGTCAAAGAAGTAGCATATAGAAAGCAAATGTAGAGACAGGGTGGTGATGGTGGTGGTTGTGTGCCATGCAGTTGGTTCTGACTCCTAGTGATCACTTTGTAGATTGTTTCCAAGGCTGTAAATTCCAACGGCACTTAACAACAACAACAACAAATCTTCACAGGAGCAGAAAGCTTCATCTTTCTCAGGTGAAACAGCTCATAGATTCAAATTGCTGACTGCGGTTAGCAGCCCAACTCGAAAGCTACTAAGCTACTAGGGCTCCTTGCCAAAGTCGGGGAGAGGGTGCAAACAGGACTCACATCCCCACTGCATAGAATTAGGACAATCAGTTCAGACAGTATGTGTGCAGTGATGAACAATGAAGGAAACAGGACCCCAACCTTCTCAGGGGCTTAGGAGAAAGACCTGTGTGTGTACCCATGGTGGGGCAAGGCAGCTGAAAGGCCAGGCTATAGCCAGTTTCAAATGACAGGAGGGTGACTGTGGTCCTGAGTGAGGGACAGGAAATAACCAGGAGGGAAGTGGGAGCTGGAAAGCCTTCCAAAGACACTGGGAGAGCAGGACAGGGCTTGGCCTGTCTCCACAGGGGCAACACTTTTGGTGCAGACCTGGCTCTCCCTGTCCCACTTGAGCCCAGATCCCCTCACACAGTGTGAGTGAGGTGTCGGGCTGCTATCAAAGGGGTTTTCCATGGTCCTGGGAGTCACATCCTCTCCCAGAAGGTGAAGCACTGTCCCCTAATATTCCTGGTTACCTCCTTGAGGTGCAAATAGGGCTCAGTAAGTATGCGATAGACATGGTGAGACTCCTGGCCCCCACCTCACTCTCAACCAGGGGTTCACGGTTCAGGCCAAGGCAGAGGATTCTTTGCTGGGGAAACTGAACCACCCAGATGCTGACAGCCAGCTCTCTGCCAGGTCACCTAAAAGTGAATCACACCACTTAGAAGACTGCTTAGCACACAGATCTTCCAGCTAGCTTTTCAATGAGCTTGTTCTTAAATACGACCAGACAGCCAGCCAGGGATCATCTGGCATTTGAAGAAAGTTCCTACCAGAATGGCATTCCAGAGCTATTAAATAGGAATCTGGAGAAAGTGAAGATTTGTAAGAAACAGAATAAGACATTTAAAAAGGAGGTCCTGGTGTGGCGCTGTGGGATAAAGCACTGGACCACAAGGTCAGCGGTTCAAACTCATCAGTCACTTGTTGGAAACACTATCCAGAGTCACTGTGAGACAGGACCTACTGGATGGTACAACAACAATATTCTGAACTGATAAAAGCATCAAGTACTAATTAAAGAGCTTACTACATGCCAGACACTCATTTTCAAATGTAGATATGAAGATAATATACCCATAAACCAAGAATAAGATACTGTGGGGGGTCAGGGGGAAGAACATTCAGAGAACAATAAACAGCACTGTGAAATTTCTCATATGATTAGAGAAATTGAAAAAAAAAAAAATAGAAGGGTTGAATAATAAAGTTGAGTAAATCTCTGGAAATTAGGAGAAATGAGAAAGAAATGGAAAATGTGGGGGGAGGAGCAAGGAAGAAAGGCAGCTTAGAAGACAATTGATCCAGAAAAAGTCCAAGAAAGGTAAATAGAAATGCTCATTCAAGAGAACTCCCTAGAACAGAAAGACAGAATTTCCAAATAAAAGATACTGAATAACAAAGCCCTGGCATACCATTGTGAAATTCCAGGTTTGAAGGGCTAAAAGAGAAGATCCTAAACATTTTCAAAAAATGGGGGTGGGGGGGTGGGAAACACCATCACAAGGTAAAGAGAGTTAATGTGGTTTTTTACAGCTACAATAGATGACAGAAAGCAGGGTGCAACATCTTTAAAATTCTCAGGGGTAAAATTCTTATGTTACTCATTTTAAAGACATTTCTAGAGGACATGGTATGGTAAGATGAAAGGATAAAAGAGATGAAAATGAGAGAGGATATGAAAAAGGGAAAGGTCAAGGACCAGTGAAGCAGGAGGCCGGAGGGGAGTTCCAGGAAACCTCTGGATGGTGGCCTGGAGACCTATGTGCCCTCTGGAGGACAGACCCCAGGAGACCATCCCAGGAAACGGGAAGACCAAGAGCTCACCTGATATGTTTGAGCACTCCAGAAAAACAGTTTATGATTTAAGAGGTGATGGAGCAACTATACAGATATAAGTATAAATGCACAGCAAATTAGAGAAATGGAAAAAAGCTAATTATTAACTCCAGAAAGGAAACACAATCTAATATACTACTTGTCTCTGCACTGAACGCTAACTACATAGTTATAAAAATGTAAACACTGATTATTGATTTAGTTAAATATTGTGATGTAATAATAAAAGGAGGATGTTGGAAGGGAGGGGTGCTGCCGGGGTTGTAAGAAATTACATCCTTGTCTACTAATGGATGAGGCTTTAAGAAAGATAAGTAAGAAAGAGTGACTTTTATGGCATGTGAATTATACCTCAATTTTTTAAAACTGAAAAAAAGTGGCAAGTAAAGAAAGAGCAGTGTTGTTCCAGCCCATAGAGACCCTGTATAGGGTTTCCGAGAGTAGCTGGTGGGTTTGAACTGCCAACCTTGTAGTTAGCACAGTCAGCAACCCAGTGCTTACCCTATAGCACCACACCAGGACTCAAGAAAGAGTTGTACAATTATATTATTTAGCAATAAGGAAATAAAGGATAGAAGAATTGGTTAAATGTTGCTGCTGTTAAATGCCGTCAAGTCAGTTCCGAGTCATCCTGGCCCTGTGTAGGGTTCCTGAGTCTGTAAATCTTTGTGAGAGCAGAAAGTCTCATCTTCCTTCCTTAGAACAACAGTTGGTGGGCTACAGCCGCCCACCTTATAGTTCTCACTGTTTACTTTACAGAGCACTCCCTTTATTATTACTTAGAAATGCTTAGTACACAACTCAAGTCTTTGCTGCTCTGAGTGGAAACAAAGAAAAGGGAGAAGACTCCAGAGGATCCATTGGGAACAAGAAATCAAAGGTGCCTCAAGAACATATGGCCCAGGAAGTCACAATGACCTTGGGGAGGACTTTGGCTGCTCATAGGCTGTGGGATGGGAAGAAAGAACCCTTTTTATGGGACTCTCAAGGGTCAGGGTGACCCAGAAGGCTGAGGAGTTTAGTTACACAAGGTTCCTTTTACAATAACCTTTGGTTCTCCATGACCCAGTACTCCCATCCCTACATGCACACAAGGTCATCCCAGCCACTCGCTCCATCCCACCTCACAACCTACACTTAAGCCTTACCTGGGCTTGAGGTAGCTGAGTGCTTCTGAAAACTGGTTGGTGAGGAAGAGGTCCAGGGCAGTCATGCACTGGTCCAGGGCCTCACGGAGGCTGCTCACTGATGTTCTGAAGGGAGAAACACAGGGCTGTGACCCTGGAGCCCCCAACCCCTCTCCCAACCAAAACAGAGCCTTCCAAAGCCCCACTCCTTCTCCCTGGGCAACCTGAGGTGTGTGCCATGAGCAACTCAGGCTGCTCACTGCTCATTGGGACACAGTGGCAATTTTGACTCCTCTTTAAGTGTTCCCAAGGGTGGGAAGAGCTCTGGTAGCTCTGGTAGCGTAGTGGTTACGAATCAGGCTGCGAATTGCAAGGTCAGCAGTTCAAAACTACCTGCTATTCCGTGGGAGAAAGATGAGGCTTTCTGCTCCCGTAAAGATTTACAGCCTTTGAAACCCTGTACAGGGTCACTATAGGTCGGAACCGATTTGATGGCACATAACAACAACAACAAGGGTGGGAAGAAGTACAAAAGCAAGGTTGTCATCCAGGACCTGGTGAGGTGAGGTGAGGTGGCATGGACAGAGGGGCAGGTATGCCTTAAGAACAAATTTATCTTACTCTTTGCAAGGCTAAAGTGTGTCTTTGTGGCCCTTCTGACCCATTGGGCTGTGCTGCTCCCCTTGCGGGGTGCAGCCTACCCACTAAATCCTACTTCAGTCCCTCTCCTCCACCTCCTTCTCCAGGCCTTCTGCCTATCTCCAGGCCTGTGTTTGAGAACCCCCGAGACACTGTCACAAGGAGCTGCCAGGGCAGTGGACCTGTAGGAACTGTCCAGTGGCTTTCATGCTCAGGAGTCAGCTTCCCAGTGGTGCCTTCAGAACAATACACAGAAGCCTTTCCAGTCCTTACGTTTCTCTACTGCTCTTATCACCCTCTGAGACATTATATATATATTTGTTGTTGTTGTTCAGTGCTGTCAATTCAGTTCCAACTCATAGCAACCCTGTATAGGGTTTCTGAGGAGTGGCTAGTGGGTATGAACCACCATCCTTGCAGTTCCAACTGACCTTGCAACCCGGTGCATGCATTATCTTACAATGCCACACCGGTGCATGCATTATCTTACAATGCCACACCAGGACTCTCTCTCTCTCTCTCTCTCTCTCT